GTTGGTCTTTTCAATCTCACAAGACTGAGGGCTCAAACTAAGACTATGGAAACCTGCATCAGAGAGTTGCTGTTTGCTGATGATGAGGCTTTTGTATCTAATTTGATAGATTGTCTGCAGATCATTCTAGGTCACACTTTCCAAAGCATCTGCTGCTTTTGAGCTAACAGTTAACATCAAAAAGACTGAAGTCCTCCATAAGCCATCACATAACTCTCACTATGTAAAGCCAACTGTTCTTCTCTCTGGCAACAAGCTAAACATCATTAACCAGTTAACTTACCTTGGCAGTACAACTGCTAACGACAACACCTCGATGCAGCACTTAACCACAGAATCCAAGCAGCATCTGTCTCTTTTGGGCAATTATACAAGAGTCCGGAAACAGCATGACATATGCGCAAAACCAAGTACAAATTATACCAAGCCATGTACTGAGCTTCCTACTCATTCAGCACAGACTTATGCACTCTATCATTGTCATATAAAGAGATTGCCCAGAGTACAACTCAGACACCTCAAAGTGGTACTAAATATATCTTGGGAAAACCGAATCACTAAAGAGTAAGTCTTGAAGTATGCCAATATGCCCAGCGTAGAAGCTGTGCTTTTTAACAGATAACTGTGCTGGGCTGGTAACATGGTGCACATGCCAGAACATTGACTTCCAAAGACTCTAATTTATGGAAAACTTTCCTCTGGCCAGTGGCAGAGAGGTGAACCAAAGCTGCATTACAAAGATGTAATAAAGCATCACCTGATCACAGTTGATATACATACTGCCAATTGGGAGTCCCTAGCCAAAATGGTGACAAATGCCATAAATCCATCAAGGATGGTTTGGAAGATGTACATCTTGCCTACAGTTCCCTACACAGAATAATGGGACATTTGTGAAAAGAAATGAGCTAGCAATTTTGGGCTCTGACCACATGTGCTAAAAGCACAATCGACAATCCAAACATTGATGGTTTCTTTTCCCCTTCTCTACATCATCTTCAATTATCAAAGGACTGCCAACGATGATATTTGTAAAATGCTTTTCCTGATTTTCTTCATTTATTACTTCCCTTTGGCATAATGCATACTGATGCACTATTTTCAATAAAATGCACTTTACTGATGGTTTCAAGGACAATTATGGATATACATTTTAAAAGTCTTCATCTACCTGTGATTTTGGAAGTTTTGCAGTAGATATTCACAATGAGGGCAGCACTGGGACTTGGTATGTTTTGCTTCTGTGAATATTTCTTCATATTGTTTTCCTTTCTACCATTCTACAGTCTTAAATTAATCTATCTTTCTCAAAATCTTTATATTTTTAGTAGAATATGAATCTACATCCATTTCCCTTTACTATGATGTATAATACTACCGTATTTTTCAGTGTATAAGACGCACTTTTTTACCCCAAAATTTGATGTCAAAATCTGCTTGCATCCTATACACCAAAGGTATGAATAATATACATGTATATATACGATATACACAAGCAATGTGTAAATATATTTATATAGGCATGCATAGTTTAGTTCAACTGAATGTGTTATTTATAACAATAGTTAGTTTTTTTTTCTTTTAAAAACATAACTATTTATAATGCTCCCTAAATAATAAAAAAACAAATTACAGTGAAAGCAAATGAAGATTTTGTAGG